GCCAAGGATCATCGTAACGGGCATATGCCAGTAGTCCGGATACCATTGAAAAAAGTTGTGTCGAATAGCAACCATCCACCAAACAGTCTCAAAAAACATTTACTGGTTTCTTGTAGGTAAAAGTCACGGTCGGGGAAAAGTGGTACCTGCATGAGGGTGAACGGGATAAGCATGGCCACGAATTTTCTGTACTTTATAAAGATCAGATCCTCCCATGTTGGATTTTCTGGTAGTTTTTGCAGTTCAGCCTCGGCTTCCTCTTCCAAGTGCTGTCCTGAAGAAGGGTTACGGTGGTCGTCTCTACTGAAATCAATAATCGATTGCTTGTGACTAACCTTCCAAGAAATATTTTTTGAACCATCGTTTCACTTTTTGACCGCATGTAAGTGCTTCTTGCGGTACGTAAGGCCGCTTTGAGAGGGCGCCTGAAGGTCTATCGAGGTGGATTTCACGGAACTATAGGTTAAATCGACTAGGACCCAAAGATACCGTACCTGTCGCGCGACTCAGTTCAATCGGTTGAATTGTGTCCATTCCCATGGTGTACAACTGTAATGAGAATATTTGAAAATCAATACAAATCGATAAATCGGATGACGAGAATACTTAGAAGTAGAGAAACTGGGATCGAGACGGTGAAATCTTATCAACTTCTGCTCTCTCAATAATGCGATTACTCTTCAGACAGGTTGATGGGAAGATTACTGTACTGCTACCGTATCCTAGTAAGACTATTGCTAATCGAAGTCTGAAATATTCCGAAGACAACAATAGTTGCTGCGAAAAAAAGGATCAGGAAATATGGCATTTGGGAGACTATATAGTTGTAGGGAAGCAGATAACCAGGAGCAATTCTGAGGCCTAATCTCACATTGTTTATAGTGATTACGGCGAGTTAAACCCGTTTTTATTATTGTTCATCCTACGTGGGTGAATGTATGCGTCATCTAAAAAACACCGCTAAACGATTCTGGGATCAGAGATTTTGTAATCATGTCATTTGATAGTCATGCTCTATTCAGAGGGAGTGAGGGACCAATCGATTAACGATTAATTTGCTTTCCTAAAGATGGATTCCAGTACGTAGACGATGGATACAATGACATGCGATGGATAAGTCAGTGCTTCTAAGCTCCCAGACGAGTCCTCAATCACAAGTGGATGGTTTCTCTACCAGTCCGGGATTCGATCTGCGGACCGTGCGTGTGATGGTGGCACCGCTTGGGGCAGCGCATCTTCCCCATTTGGGTCCAGGATCATACACATAACAGTGTGTATACGAGCGTTGACAGTGAAAGAGACGCAGAAAGCCAGTAAGCACTCTGGTTCTCTGGGAGAGGGGTTACCGTGGCGGTAGTGTACCTCGACAACCTTCATCTCCTCATAATAATTAATGACACCTTTTGGACGGTTCCCTTCCAGAGGTCGATGAAAGGACTACGGTCAAGTCAAGATGGAAAATGGAAAGGAGGGGTCAGTTCGTTTCACAGTTGGGTTTGGTGGTAGTATGGGCTACAAGGATGAACAGGGAACCTTACGAGCAGAGCTACAGGATACAGTGGATCAGTGCTGGAGGGCAATAGGAGTCGGCGGTTCAGTGAGTAATGACCTACAGTGCACCAAAAAATATTTTTAACTGGACGCCGAATGAATTCGCATAAGCTGCTTTCGATTCGGATCACAGGAGCAGCGGTCAGAGAGCAAAATACGCATAAGGTTCTTTCGGTCTATGCAGACATATCAAGGTGAAAAATTATTTTACCATCTGACTACGGTAAAAGACGCTTAAGGTACAAAATAGTACTGAGAGCTCATTAAGACCGATACCAAGCGCTGGGAGAACAAAAAGAGTCAGATCGAGGCCGACGGAAATGCATCTCTTTTTATAGCGGCTGAATATGTCTTGAAGTAA